TCCGTGAATGTTAGCAACTGGACAAATTGAATGCAGCGGTCAAGGAAAAGCGACCAGAATTGGTCAATCGTAAAGCTGTCATTTTCCAGCAGGACAATGCTAGGCCGCACACGTCTTTGTCCACTCGGCAAAAATTGATGGATATCGGTTGGGAATCGATGTTACACCCACCACAGAGCCCTGATCTCGCGCCATCGGATTACCACTTATTTCGATCCCTGGACAACTCCCTTCGTGGTAAAACTTTTAACGACGATGACGCTGTAAAATCTCACTTAACTCAGTTTTTGGCCGAAAAGGATCAGACTTTCTACGAGCGTGGAATTTTCAAGTTGTCAGAGAGATGGCAAAAGGTCATCGAACAAAATGGAAAATACATTACAGATTAAACTTCATTCCAAGTAAAAAAAAATTTGTTATTTCATTGAACAAATCGGCAATTACTTAGTTGCCAACTCAATAGAATTAGATAGGTCGTTTAGCTTTTTCATTATCTCGTCCTATAATAAAAGTGTCCCATTCGTGGCGGTGTTCTGCTACATAGTTGCGCCTAGAACAGAATTGTGCATTTATCTAAGCTAAAATAAACCCAAGTTTTGAAGTCGTCAAAGTAGGAACGATCGATCGCGAAGTTCTCCGGCGTGGAAACACAGAGATCCCTGTCCCGCGTCGAATCGCAGGCTCCACGGAGAGCAGCCATTAGCTTTGTGCTCCGAGATTCAGGGGATGGAAGGTGTAACGCTGCTAAATCCGTCACGTCAGGTGGTGCTCTGCTTCGAGCGGATCTTCTGGGACCCGACCGCCAATTTGTTCGGCCACGTGGGCAGCACGACCGCGTCGCGGGGCGAGCTTTTCCTCTTCTGGAACTTGTACAAGGCGCCGGTGTTGTTGGCCCTGGTAGCCGGCGAAGCAGCCTGCGTGATGGAGAACGTCAGCGACGATGTGATCGTCGGACGTTGTATCGCCGTTCTGAAAGTAAGAATCACATTTTTTTTTTTCGAAACTTCAAGATCACGCCTGGGCAACTGAACTGCGGTTTTGAAACATTAAGAGTTGACTTTTTACCTGAACCTAGATTACGTCTGCTTTACAAATCAAGGTGGTTAGTACCTACGCTACTGTGTTATTATAAATTTGATTAAAGATTTCACCTTTGACGGTCGTGTAATGTCTATGAATACCAAGAAATATTTAACATTTGTACATTTGTTGAAAGGAAACAGCACGAGTTAAAATCAGTGTAAAATTGATTTCGCGGTGACGCTTATGTTTGTTCGCCACAAGTGCTTTTCAGTTGCTTTTTATTAATGTTTGGATCTTTGCATTGAATTGTGTCAGGACAAGGCACGTGGAAGGAAATGCAGGGAGATATCTTGAAGAAACTGACTACAATATTACCACGAACAGTAAAAGTTGTTGTTGCTCAAAGAGGCGGACATATATGAACGCAATATTTAATCATTCTCATTAATTTATTATGAAATTTTTCGATCTACAATCCCTATCGCACACTATCAACATTTTAATAGGATTCATAAATGTTCATTGTATGTGAATTTGCACGGTAGTGAATTTTCTAGTTGGATTCTGTAGGTTACAGTAAATTTTCCCTAATTGATCCTCAGCTTGTACTCGGCTTGCCGAGTTAACAACTATAAAAACCGTTACCGTTTGTCAACAACTATAAAAACGAGCCGCAAGGCTCGTATAATCGTACGTCCCCTTTCCAAATTGTCGATTTTTGTTTCCAAGCTGAGTGTCAATTAGGAAGAATGTACTGTATATGGCTCGACCAGACTCTATAAGCATAATTCTTAATTAATAGAGAGCATGAATATCTTTGAAAAGTATTTCATTTTCACAAAGGACTTCATCTATCTGGAAGTGAATTGATGAAGTACAAAACATTGAGGGAGTTAGATGAATGTAACCCTTTGCATATCTTATTCTAGTAGTTGCAAGCGTATTACTTGCTTATGTAGATTACAAAAGATAGCTGTAAATCATGAATTCTAGTAATTATGTAATTTTTTGGTGTACTATCTATATATATAGCTCTACGATGAAACTGTTCTTACAAGTTGGATTCAACTTCTATTTTCTTGTATTAGATTGGTGCATATGAAATGATTCTTATTAAGTGTAAATGTTTGTCTCCCTCCTTACGTTGTTATTTATGACGTAATCTCTTTTACAGTCTCATTGTGTATTGCCATCATCATATTTTGTCGAAAGAATTTTTTTCATAATTTTGTATCTTCATCATTTATTTCCAAGTTTGCATATGAATTCTGCAAATAGAAAACAAATACAAACGACCATAACTTCTTTAAAAATGGCATTTATACATTAAAACCTCGTTGGGAAAAAGTGTATCGAAGCAAATAGGTCATATTTTGATTAAACAAACAGTTTTTTGTTAAATATGAACGTTCGTATTTAAAATTCATTTAAAAATCCGACATTTCGCGTGCACCGATCCAATATTTCACCTACACACTGTCCTCCTGAATGCATAAAGTCTGCGGTATGCATAAAAGACAGCTCCGAATTACCCAGTATAATGAACTGAAATGACAAATGTCTGATGTTTATCAGGTGAAACAGATACCTGAAACCACTGTTCATTTCAGCACAGTAGTGGAACGACCGGTGTTAGCGATCGATCGGTTGGCCAGGCATGATCCAGAGCCCACATTCTATGAAATACGGGTGGTTCTGATCGGTTTTTGATCTTGCAGGGTATTTTCGGCAACCAAGTGGTGCCACAGCCTCGCGAGAGCGTGGTGACGAGATGGAGGGCGGACCCGTGGGCAAGAGGATCGTACAGTTTCGTCGCGGTCGGCAGCTCCGGCAGCGATTACGATCTCTTGGCAGCTCCGGTCGCACCGCCGCCCACCCCTGGCGCCCCACCCCCGCAGCCGAGAGTCTTTTTCGCAGGTAAATATTTAGCCGGCGCGTTATTTCGAGCGGCCACTTATTCCTCCGGCTCTCTTTTTCCTGCGGGAAACAAAGTCAACCGGCTACATCTCCCGTCGGGTTCACTCGATTGCAAGTTTTATGGTCGAGGCCAGACCGTTTCGTTTCGGGAGAGTGCGCTTTTCTCTCTATTCCCCGGCTTCTCCGCGCGTCTCATTTTCCCTCGACCGTCTTCTTTCCGACTCCGCTTCGCCGAGACGCTTTAGAAACGCCGGATTTAAACAGTCCCGCAACGAGTTTATTGAATTATTCTATGAAACAATTATTGCGGCGCGGTCTGGCTGGCTCCGACGCGCTTTGTTCCGTCCGCGTGCACGCGGCTCTTTCAGCTCTGCTTCTATTTGGTAGTCGATTGAACTCCGCTGAAACTACGATGCGCGCGTATCGCGTTTCTAATCCCTCTATAACTTGATTTTTCCGCTGGTCGAACGGGGACGTGGGACGTGGAAAGAATTTGTATTAGGAGGCCTGGAAACCGCTGTCGACGCACGTCTTCACTGGCGTGAAACGTGTGGGACAGTTGACTGTTATGAAACGCTATTAGCTTTCATGATATTAAAGATTGTTATGCAATCACTACCTAGGATAAAGCGACAGTTCGGAAAGAGAACAATGTACGCGTCGTTGCAAGAACTCGATTGGAACAAATATATCGTACTTAGCGGAATCATAAACTGCGGATCTTTGCACAAACCTCGAATTCTACTGTCATTGTTTACGCAATCGATTCTTTTTCATTTTACATATCTGCAACTACCGAATACATCAATAGACAGACCAGTTACAAGCGAACATTTGGAAAAATCACTGCAATCGTGTACGGTCTGCGCCCAGAAGGGCAGCTAGCGTAATCTTCTCAGCAACCATGGATGGACCAGACCTGGTTTTTGTGTTTCCAGGGGAGCACACGATTCGAAATTACCCAGCCACGGTTCACGGAGCCTTTCTGAGCGGCCTGCGCGAGGGTGGACGCATCGCGGATCAACTTTGCGGCAGTCCTTATGCACCTCCGACGATGCCTGCAGCTGGCCCGCCGCCGCCGGGCATTCCATCGGCGACCACCGCCGCCAGCTCGACGCCTTAATCGCCTCGTCGTGAACATCATTTTGGATGAGACCGTGTCATCTTCGTTCGAACGATAGACGCGAGAGACAACGCCCGAAAATCCAAACCCTCCATGAAGACGTTCGTATCCGACGAACCGGGACGCTGTTTACCGCGTTACCAATTTTAACTAACGACGTTCATTTTAACCGACTCATTACGAATGATCGGGCGCGATCTTTAGATAGGGAAACGTGACGGTGTGATCGGCACCCGATCCGTTCGGCGCGGGTTTCATCCCTTCTGCGGTCCTTGGTCGACTCTGAACAAATTTTGGAAACGGTGGCTGTGACATGTAGATTTTATACATTTACGACGAACATGCTAAAAAGAACAGTAAGGATATTTGAGAGCCTCGAATATATATTAAGTCATAAATTAGTTCCCACAAATTTCAGGTCCTTCTAATGTATTGACAAGCAAATATTTCCTATCGAAGTATTTAACCAGCAAGAAATAACCTAGTCTCATTTGAAACTATAAACGGTGACCTCGCGTTTCTATCGTTTTGTTTTTAAATTTTAACAGTTGCAATTTCCTGTCGGTCAAATACTAATGAACTTCGACAGAAAACATTTTTTCTCAGTCCATCGGAAGCTGCTGAAAAATCGTGGAGACCAATTTGTGGCTCGCCCTGTATATGTATACCATGTAATGTACATATACTACACAATATCGTATATTTGGATAAAGATTCACGACGAGATTAAAATCTAACGACGAGCATTCGAATCGATGTTAAATTTTACTCGTGTCCTCATGCCATAGAATATAGTCGAACAAAACCAGTCGGGCTTTTAACGACGTTGAAAACAAATTTGCTAACTCAATCTTCGGCTACAGTTTCTTCATGTTCTCGAGAAACTGGTAGCTGAAACTGTTCTTGAGAGAACGATTCGGAGATTTTAAGATTTTACAAGAACCGTCTAGCGACAGATGAGAACATCGCTTCTAGTTGAAAATGTCGATCAATTTTGGATGACCATGTCCCCAAACTCTAGACGTTAAACCTGGAAAGAACCTAAACGGAACGATCATCGATTCACAAGCCTCAGTTTCGAAGAGAGTAGTCGAGAACCGCAGCAGGCCCGTACAAATAAGTTTCATTAGCGTAGATTCGTGCCTTGCTTCATTCCACATAGCCTACGTTCGCAGCCCTTTAGTTTGTACATTACCCTGGAACGGTATCACTCGTCCCAGCTTGCGTTCCGTTTCCGGGATCCCCTTTTTTACTCGCTTCACGCTATACGCATGCTTCACGAACGTCCCCGCCCGGACATCCCGGCCTAGGTACTATGCTTCCGTCGCTTGTCACGCGATCTCCGAATCATCACCGGCGTCGAGGACGTCCGGTCCATTCCGGCGGACCAGACGGTCCCGTGTCCCGGCGCCGTGAAAAGCCGTCATTAGCCAGAATGTTTGCGAATCGGACGAACGCCACGTACAAAGAACCGGGCTGCATGGTTTCGTGCGTCGCGACGCCTGGCGACGATAATGGGACAAAGGGAAGAAGAACCGCCAGAAGACACTTTCGCTGAACGATAATTGCGCTTTCGATCGCGGTCATTCGAGGTGAGGCCGATCGATTCAGAGTGTATAACACGATCTCCGCGCCACTGACGCTGCGTTCTCTCCGAGCACTCGGTCGCGATGAAGTCCGCGTCGAACGCACGGCCGTCGTCGGATACCGTTGACCTTAGGTCCAGGATCTAATCCAGGTTCTCCGGAGCTTGATCTCCTAATTTCTCAGTAAGTCGTATGAAAGATTCGAAAAAGCGAGGAAGACGAATGCGAAGAATGCGACGTTCGAAAGAACGAACGGCTCCGAGAAGCCTGCGGTAACCCGAGGTTAGACAGATCCTCGACGGATCCAAAGTGACTCTCCGCCACTCGTTGGCCGACGTAGCGTCTCTAGATGTAAGAGCCTCGCGGGCGGTCGAGATTGTGAGACCGAGCGCACGTGACAATGTATAATAAAAGACAAAGAGAAGTTTCTATGGAAATGTAGTCGTCTCCGTTGCGAATGATCAAACGCCGAACCGGCGCGGCGCTACCGTTTCACTCCCGCCTAGGATCGTAATCCCGGGGACTTATAGTCGGTAGACAGTCATCGGGATCGCGTCCAAGCCCAAGATAATGCCTCGACAGGATTGTTTCGACCCGTTTCGACGAGAATCCCTCGATGATCGAGTGACGGCCCATTGTCAGAACGCCTCGAATCTCGGCGTGCACGTCACCCTCGAGCCTCGTTCTCTCGTTGGCCGAGGAACACTTGGGGTAAGTTAAGCTGCACAATAAGAACCGTCAATGTCTCAAGAGAGGATTCCTGGCCGACTATTCGCGGCGGAACTAGGTGAATCCCGGCGCCGCTAGTCCCTCTTACGACGGTTCGCGCGCCTCTGGCCCGAGGCGAAAGACCTTCTCCCCAGGCTCTTTTCACCGACCAACGCCTCTTTCAAACGATAGTTCCCTTTTACCTTCGCCACCCGGCGCGGAGGAACGCGGCTTTTCTCCGTGGAAGACGCCCGTTTAAGAGAGGACTCGCGCAGACGTCGCCGATCAGCCTTTACGTCCGGGAAATAGGTCACAGGGTGCCGCGAATTTGTCGAGCTACTTGTTCGGTACCTTGACGGACCGAGACAAATTCCGAGCAATCGATTTTATTCAGCGTTTACCCTCCTACCTCCTTCCCACGCCGCTTTCACGCCTTTGACGGGACAATACTTTCTAAGGATTTTTATGATTCTTACCGATCGAACGACTTTCTGCGATCAACGACAGCTGGCCTGGTCAATGGGGGCATTGCTTCCATCGAATCGCGATTACTATCGAAGCAAGGTGATTTTCTGAAAATTCGCCCTTTCTTTGAGTCGCTAGTTTCTTTAGCGTGTCGAAGATCGTAAGAGTATTGCAATGAGCACGCGGGTTTCAGCAGCTTCAAGATGATGCATTTTCTTAGAATGCTGCTTGGAGATGTTTATATTTCCTACTTATTTAAGATTTGCTTTTGAATAGATTGATCGTTTAAAAAAATTGCCCACCCAATTTCTCTCTCGTTGGTTCCCCTCGAATGCATCGAAGATCGGAAGAACTTTACAATAAAGAGATAGGTTCGAGCAGTTCCATGAAACAGAGATCAAAATACCGCAAGTATTAACGCCTAAATAGAAGCACGTTTCACAAAGAAACTTACGATCTGCCGCTGGCAATTCTAACGTCTGCGAACCCACGGTAAGTTACACAATTGGCAAGGAACCGCGGAGAATAAGCGCGATAGCGATTGCACTGCTGAATTTGCTTCGGTGCAAGAACGATCTGGTTAATCCTTGCTCTGCCGGCTCTGGGTCACTCGTGACCCGTTCTTTGAGCCAAATCAATTACAAATATCCCAAACCACTGTTCATTTTCATTTTCTTGACATATCTGTTTTCAAAATAACCGATGTTTGTCATACAAAAAAAATCCGAAATGCATCAGAAAATAATGAATCTCGCTCGGATGAATCTCGTTCGAAATTGATTGGAAAAACTGGAATAACCGATCGAACGAGTTTCTCTTTCATTATTCTGCGTGGGGACTGTGCCCGCGCGAGCCCCACACTTTCAAAAATTAAACGCACAAATACCCTCAGGAGTATTCGCAGGCGTTCGGCTCGTTGCCTCTCGCCAGGGGGAACCACCTCGTTGATCATGGTATCCCCTGCGCCAGGTTAGTATGACCCGGCCAATTTTCCGCGGCCCTGATCAGCCCTCTAGGTCCTATCTTCACCTGCGAGAAACGGTGGAAAGCGAAACTCCATCCATCGGAATTTTCAATGAACTGTTGAAACAATAATTGACTAACGAGCCACGCGATCGATCGTTCTATTGTCGCGGGAATATGCTCGATTCCGTACGAACAACGCGGGTGATTCTGCAGAATCTCCACAATAGGATCGCATTGATTCCAACGCGAACAAGGAGATTTCTAATTATAAATTCGCCGTAAAATTTGTAACTGCTGTAATGGAACGATTCGCAGGATGGATCATCTCAGTAATATATTATAAACCAAGGGTGACTTTTGATCACTACGGGCGACCTATTTTTTTAAATAATAGCCGGCGGTCTAGTAAAATAGGCAAAGTAGTAATTCAAAGCCAAAAATAAGTTTAAATTTAAAATAAACGTAGATAATAGACAAGTGGGCGACTAGGAATAGTTAGGCCAGTCGACCGCGGTCGACGCTTCGGCCACCCCTATTATAAACCAATGAACCTTTATTCATGGTCAGCGGTGGTTTTTATACAGGTACCTTACCGCTTGGCTGACGAGATAGGAGTTCGATGGAGCGTTCTGTTAAAACATCGAAGCGCGTCTTTGTCACATGATCGGATCGCGTCCCGTTACTCGGATCGTGTCTCGTTACACTATCTGAGCAACCCGCAAAACTCGATTCCATCCCTGTCTCTTTCTCTCTGGGAACGAGCTTCCAGTCAAAGGACGCGGAGAAACGGCAAAGAATCGATCCGATGTTCAATTAGCGGTGCAATTTCGCTTCGCAGAGCCGTAATACCGCGTTTACGCGTACATATGTATGTATATACGTACGCACGTTTCCGACAAACCGGGGCCGAGGAAGCGGTGTACCTTCTTCGGTCTCGGTTAGGGAACTTCCGTTAATCCGCCGGCAATCGTCAATATTTTCCGAAGTGTTCGCTTTGGGAGCGTTCCGCGGGCGGCCTCGCCGCCGAAATTGTCGAATGGAACTACACCGGTTCACGGCGAGGCGGGTTCCGCGCGCGAGGAAGTAATTATCCGTCAGAACCGGCCGTAAAATCGTTAGATCAGAAGCAAGAGCAACGGGAACTCGACGGCAAAGTGCTAACATTGCGCGCCGTCGGGAACTTCAGGACTTCGACGAGGTGGCTCGTCTTTCAAGTTCATCGAGTTTACGAGACTCGGCGTAGTTCGATTACACGCCCCCGGGTACGGCACCGCTGTAACGCAATATCTATATCGAAGTAATCAAGCTCACAATATCCCCGATTTAGGCAGGAAATTTCGCGGGGGCTGGGGACGTGGCGGAAGCCCGAGCGATTGCACGCGGCGCGGCGTCGAGTTTCAAATTATGCGGCACGACGAGCCCTTGGATCGCTACGCGTGAACATGCAAATCATTCTCCGACGGCTCTCTTTTCACGCCAAACGAAAAACTTTCCTCAGCCACGGAGCACTTTCGTAAATATCAACACTGGACCAACCGCGCTGGTCAATGTGAACCACCTCGTATATTTTCTGTTAAAACTGTTCCCATTATAGAGACACTTTCACTGGAGTAATAGAATGCATGTCTTAACACGTTCCATGCCACGTGTATTCATTGAATTCGCTAAAAAGATAGATTCTATTAGAAGTTCAAGACCGAACAATATACAGAGTGCTTGAACACGCTTGAACATCAGTTTGCTTTCCTCATATTTTTGCGTGCGACACATTCAGAAACAATCGGTAAATGAAATGGACCGTACAGAAACAAAGCGAGCGAAGAATAGTCAAAGTTTGTTCGTTGAAAGGATTGAAGTTTCGGTGAGCGAAGATAAAGCTATTCCTTTTTGTTCCAGTATTAAACGGAATATTCTTGACACCAAAGTGAAAACGATTTACGTTTTCAAGATTCATTTTTATTGAAATATATGCGAACAAACTGAATTTGACTACAATGTTTAGGATGCCGCAGAGTTAACCCTCTGGACTCGGATTATACAGGGTGTCCCAAAAATGTCTCGCAATCTGGAAATGACGGGTTCCTCAGACCATTTGAAGCAACTTCTTCCTTCACAAAAATTTTCTCCGAGGCACCGTTAACGAATTATTAACGAAAAACAGTGACCAATGTGAGGCGAGCTCAGTTGGTGCGAGGCGACCGAGCCAATCAGCGGAACTGGGATTCGACCGCTCGACCGTTGGCGCCGTTGGCTCGGCCGCCTCGCGCCAGCTGAGCTGGGATTCGACCGCTCGACCGCTGGCGCCGTTGGCTCAGCCGCCTCGCGCCAGCTGAGCTGGGATTCGACCGCTCGACCGCTGGCGCTGTTGGCTCGGCCGCCTAGCGCCAGCTGAGCTCGCCACTCATTGGTCACTGTTTTTCGTTAATAACTCGTTAACGACGCCTCGGAGAAAATTTTTGTAAAGGAAAAAGTTGCTTCAAATGACCTAAGGAACACGCCACTTTCGGATTGCGAGATATTTTTGGGGCATCCTGTATTTCCACCGAATGAATGAGACATTGGAATAAATACGAGCAACAGGATTTACATGAAACTTGAATCGTTCTTTGAATAATTTTAGTTATTCTGCTCCGTTTTACGAAACACCGACTTCCCTTTGTCACAAATGCATGAAATCCACGATCTTCAAATTCCCACTTTTCGTACGCTATTACATCGATCCACCTTGCGAAAATAATCGTTTATGCAAAGTAACGCTTTGCATACATATGTAAGCTAATCAATTTTTAAACGGCGGAGTTCGCACCGGTTTAATGAAATATTCGTGGCACACGTGGAAACAAATATTTTCATTCCAAGAGGTTCGTTCATCATTCAACGTGTTCGCTGACACGGCGCGCTTTCGAACAATATTTTATCAACCCCCGTAACGCACCCCGGAAATAATTTCATGAAAGAACCTCGGATTATACATCGTTCATTTTTACTTTACATTTTCGCAACGCAACCATTTCACGAAAACGTTCCGTAAGAAAAATGGAAGGTTATGTCAAGGTTACATCAAGGCGTCGCCTCCAGAGTTTCAGAAAGCGGTAGCAAGCTCTTATGAATTTTCGAGCATGAAGAAAATTCTTCAGGAATTGTTGGTATCCGTTATCGGTCAGTAATTCTTCGGGCGACGAAAATATTGGATTCCGCTCTCAGAGCCCGAGCGTGGAAACTCTTCCAGAGCTGAATGCTCTACCCAGGCCGGCGGAGTCCTTTCAGAGACCGCCTTGGAACGCAGTCGCGTGCTGCCGGTCACGTTCCGTTGCATTCAACGTCCAAGTGTACCTATCCTAACCGAACCGTAACTAGACCGCCGTTGCAAATCAACCCTAGCCCCCTGCTGCACGAACTCAAATATTAATTCAATAGAGCAGACATCGTCATAGTAACCGTAAACACCGCTCGAGACCGCTCGGAGGCGCGCGACCGAACCTCTAGATCCCGTTTCACCGCGAACGATTCACGTTACTTCGGCAAGATGAGCATGATGCCGTTGAACAAGGTGCGCTGCGGCCCCGTAATACCGAGGAAGTATCCTCAGGTGGTGATCGGTAGCTCGAAAGGCGAGCTGGGCTACCGAATACGCGAGCGGGAGAAGTGCGACATCGTTCCCTACGTGGACAGGTCCTTGATCGAGCTGCACGAACAGCAGAAGATGAGGGAGTACGAGAATCTGACGAAGACCATGGACTTCGAGCGGCAGACCGACAGGAAGATCGGCAAGAAGAAACTTTGGAACCACGTGCAGCAAGGTAGCTAAGTCACAGTTGTTGGAACCGTGAATTTGTAAATGAAGACTTCTTAATCAATTTCTTAGTAGCAATAGGTAACGCGCGAGGTCGGTATGGATTTTGTTAGAACTTTTGATCAGAAAAGTTTCCGACCAAAGATTAATAGATCGCCGGTAAGTAGAATGTTAAGTTAGCCGGGGTTCTGATAGAATTTTTTATCGGAGGGTTCTCTAATTAAAAGTTGATGGTCTTCCATGTAGATAAAGCGTCGAAGTAGTTACGCTGTTGTTAGAATTTTTATCCGAAGGTACTCTAATTAAAGGCCTTTCCCGTGGATAAAGCGTTAAATTAGTTTCAATTTTGGCGGGATATCTTATCAAAAGGTGCCCCTAAAGTGGTTACAGCTGCAACAAGTGCCTTGCTCTTCAATTAATGGTCTTCCGATGTTCTCGATAAATTTCGCTGACACCGCGATGGCTTCTGCAGGGTTGGCAGCCTACCAGGACTCTGTCAACGCTCGCAGGCAAAAGCTGCGGGAGGTTCTTCTGCGCGAGCAGATGAGTCTGACTCGCGAGGTGGTCGACCAGGCTCAGCACGGCGACGACGCCAGGATGGAGAATATGCGGCTGAAAACGGACGAACTGAAGAAACAGCAAGAGGAACGGCGTCTAGCACTGGTAGCTGCGAAGAGGATGCAGCAGTACCTGGCGCAGTGTCCCGCAATTCGAGAGAATATAATGAAGAAGACTACGATGGAAGTGAAGGAGTGCAACCTGGTGCAAATGGCGGAGAACGAAGCGAGAAGGCAAGAGCGCGAAGAGCTCGAGAAACTGTGGCACAACCTGATGCTGAAGGAGGTTGACGCAAGGAAAGAAAGGGAGATAGAGGAAGCTAAAAGCCGCTGCTTGGTTGATCGGGAGGTGATGACGACCCTGGAGAAACAGATCGCAGGGAAACTAGCCCTGGAAGAGCATCTGAAGCGAGTTCAGCAGGAGGATAAGGAGTACGTGGCTTGTCTGAAAGAGCAAATGCGACGAGACGAGCTGGAGAGATTGGAGCTCGAGCATAAGAAGAGGCAGGCCTTGAAGAGCGACCTCCTCGAGCAGATGATGGACGCGAAGAGACGTCTGGCGGAAAAGGCTCGGCAGGAAGCTGAGATGGACCACCTGAGAGACAGTTTGGCTGCTGCCGATCTGGCCAGGGAGCAAGCCAAGATCAAAGAATCGAGCGCGATCCTGCGCAAAGAACTGTTAGCCTACCTGCAGTACCTGGAGGATCTCAGGAAAGAAGAAGCCACGAGGAACATCGAAGTAGACCGCATCATCGCAGAGTTCGTGGAGAAAGCCGACGCCAGACGCAACCTAGCTGCGAAGCAGTTCAAGGAGGCAAAGAGTAAAGGTCTTCAGGAGGTCCTCCGAGGGCTGGACGAACAATTGAAGCAGAACCGTCGAAAGGAAAAGGAAGAGGAGGAGAAACGCAGGCTAGAGCAGGAAGTGCTGCGGAAGGAGCTTGAAACGGAGGCTAGGCTGTCTGCTAACGCAAAGGAAGAGGCCAAGACCAGGAAACTGAGGTACAAGAAAGACCTGGAGGAACAACGCAGACTCGCGGAGGATGCTAAGCGCAAGGAAACAGAGGAGCTGCGCACATGGCACGAGCAGGAGATGAAACGCCAGCAGGAGGACCTGAAACTCACCGAGGAGCTCCTGGCGGCCTCCGATGTGATCACGCCGCATCCTTTCAAAGCCCTGCTGAAGGAATGCGCCGCCAGATACGCTGCCGAGAAGGAGGGCCAATGCTATTGCCCCCCTCCCCCGCCTACCGAATAATTTAATAAAAGCTGGAAGAGCTAAAGAAGGTACAATGAATTTTTATACATTTTTATACATTTTTCTACCCTTTTCAGAATTGAATATCGCTCTACGCCCTCAATACCATTGCGCACATATTAAATAGAACTTGTCGAACGATTCCACAACTTTCTCGATCGCTATCTGTTAATTGGCTAGATCGGGAGGACGGTGTTTCCAAAAATCGGCTGCAGCGAACATTTAATTTAGCTTAGTTTATAGATCGCTCAAGATTTGAATTTTACCATCGATGCGCCACGGGATCTAGGACCCACGCGGCGATCTATAGCGCAGATCGTACTGCGAGCTCCATCCGTGGCACGCGGCCGAAGCCACGGGCGAATCTACCGTCGGTAACGCAGGCCCCTGTTTCATTATCGATCCCCGGCATAATATTTTTCGCGCGAGGGTGCAACTTTCGCGACAGCTCGAGGCGTGGACGGTTCCCAAAAGGATCCCGAGCATCCTCGAAACGAGTGCATCGCGTCCGGATTGTGTATTTAATGTAGGGGTTTCAATGATTCACAGTTCGCCTCGTAATACAATTTGCAACGCGTTTCAGAAACGAGCCCGAGCCCGATAAACGGCTCGTGTTTACCTTCCGGGGATCGTCGCTTGGCACGCGACAAAATATAGAAATCCGCGAGTAGACGGGAATAATCCCGCCATCGAATCGCGCGGATAATGACGGCGAGCCGGGTCCACGCCTCGAATCGGAATAATTACGGAGCCGGTGCTGCGAAGCGTTATTTTTCCGTTCTTTTTATTGGATGATTTATACTTCGCTTAAAAACGCGTTTCGGTCCGCCGCCCGCGGCTCGATAATTCCTCCTTTCTCACCCCCTCTGGCCCCCCTCCCTCCCCCGCCCGGCACACCCCCCTCGCGTGTATTTACAGCGCGACGTTAAACTCTCGAGTCTCTTGCAGCACCTCCGGGCAATTGCTTTGAAATTCACGGCGAACCAGTCCGAAGTGCAAATTGACACTCCACTTGGATTGAATAGCATAACTTGCCCCGGTACTGAGTAGAAACCGTAAATTACCTCCGGCCCGTTCGATTATTGGAAAACACGCGACTCCGTTACGCGGCGCGGAATTAACGAGCGACCGTGGAAAAATTAATTGCGAATTAATCGGCCGCCTACCGAGGACAGCGTTAATGGCACGGCAATTAGACAAGTCGCGCCGCGTCTCGCTGCCTGTTCAACTAATAAACGCTTGTGAAACGCGAATCCTGGTTCTTAAAATCATAAATATTAAAGCATTCCCATGACGCGTGCAAGCGTTTCCATAACACAGACGAATTTACCGCTTTCACTGCAACAATGAGTCAGACTCGTGAAGAAGATTTCACACATAGTGTACCGGATATGGATACAGATTATTCATTTTTTCTGATTCGGAAGAAAATTTGATTTTCCTCTTATCAAAATCTAGGAATGAAAGTAAGTGAAGACATACAAAAAGAAATTGTTTCGTTCTATTAGGGAAATTATTCACACTGGGTTCGTTTCGTAAAACTGACAAGCGCATATTCTCAGATTTTTAGCGGCTCCAATCTTGATATTTGTCCAACGAATCGAGTATATTGATTAAATTCCTCATAAACGTATTTTCAGAAATTCAATAATCGTAATTTACAATATTTGAGTGTGTAAGGACAGAGAAGCGCTAATCCGTCGATTAGTTAAGCAAATTATCTTAAGCAAGAAATCTTGGTGCAAGGTGACTATTACTATTACTACTTATGCATAGTGAATACGATTGTTTATCGTCGAGTAACGCGTGTTTCCTAGATTCGTTTGGGAATCTAACGCGCAGGCAGTCGGTCGATCGGGTGGAGTTCGGATTCCCGCCTATCCGCGGAATTTCTCGTTTGCAAACCAAATCCGCCGATGATATTATAATCTGTGGTCCAAAGAAATTCTCATAATCTTTTCAGCGACTCGCTGCGGAATAAATTTGCCGAAGTATTAAATTCTTTTTGAGTCCCCGATACCGCGTCCCGGATATATTAAAATATTTCTGTTCGGCTTCGCCGGCGTATTTCGCAATTTCCTATGGTATCGTGTATCCGCGTAAGCTCCGCAGCATCTTGTGTCGCGAAAGTGAAAAGCTGAGAAGGGGATGCGGAGAAAAAGAGAGAGAGGGAGAGAGGGAAGAGAGAGACAGCAACACTTCGAAGTCGAACCCCATTTAACGCAGAATTTGAAATATGAATACGGATCAGAGTTCGCGGCGGCACAGCGTTACGGCATGGCGAAGTCACGGCGACGTCGGCCCCCTGTACTCGCGCATGTTCTCCAGCTCGCCGGTCTTTTCCACGGCTATGCACGTCTGTTCCGCGAATGCTAATGTGCGTGTACGCTGATATTACGGTACGCGCGGCACGTTTGCCGGCGACACGAGCCGCACAATTCCGACCGGCGCGGTTATCTTTATAACGGCGGAAAAACTACCGCACTTTCGTTACCGTGATATCCCCTTTTATCGGTTTTCTTTTTGTCCTTTGAACACACCCTGTTCTCTCTCTCTCTCTCTCTCTCTCTCTCTATCTCTCTCTCTCTCTCTCTCTCTCTCTCTCTCTCTCTCTCTCCCTCCCTTTCTCTCTTTCTCTCGACTTCGT